TATTCGTTTAAACATATTATAAATTTTTTCATGTTATATAAAATTTAACCTAACCTATTTAATAAATGTATGTATTAAGTGTGTTATGGTGTTTTACGTTCAATAAAGGTATCCATATTTGTATTTAGGATCTTAATATCGGGGTGTGATGATAAAAAGAAAATTCATCATGTTCAATGGTCTTTGATGATAAGGCCTAAATATTGTGGGGTCTTGGTATTATTGATTTGGGTTTGAAAAATTGGACTTTACCTTAATATAAGGCTATGACTTTGTGCCAACGAGCTCCACAACCTCCAGAAAACTGTCATTTTTGCAAAATGTGAACTAACCCTAGAGTTCTCTTCCTCACTGCTCTATCTCCTAAGGCGTCTACCTTTGGAGAAATTTTTCTCGCCCTCTTACAACTGATGATGTTTTTCATGAGTGAGTGATTGTTAATCTTGGATATCTCCTTGGTAATCGACAATCCATTCATTTTTGGACCAACCCTTGGCTAGGTGATCAATCTCTTCAACTCATGTTCCTAAGGATTTTTGCCCTTGCTTCCAACAAAATAGGAGTGGTTACTGACTATGGTTCATGGGAAGGAAATCCGTGGAATAGTTCCATCCTCCTTTGGTGTAAGTCATTTAGTTGGGAGATTAGGCAATGGTCTAATTTCGTAGACCTCATCACACCAATTCAACCTCATCATTCTAACCTTAAAAAAGCCATATGGAAGAAGTCCACTAATGGTGATTACATGTCTTCATCTTTTATCAGCTTTTATCAAACAGATAGATGGGTTTCTCAAAATCATTTGAAACAACTTTGGAAAGGTTTTTCACCCTCAAAAGTTGAAGTCTTCACTTGGTAAGTAATTCTTGGGAAAATTGTAGTGAAGCATGAACTCCTCAAAACGAGTATAATCGATGTTATGCCGCTCTATATACAATGTACAACAAAGAACTTGAGACCTTGGAATATTTTGATGTATAATTGCAGCCTTTGAGGACTAAGTTGGGTCCACTTGTGCGAAGTTGCCTTTTTCTTTGACTCGTCTCAAAAAAGCAAGCCTCCAACAAGGTCTCCTGAAATTTGGTGCATGTGCTTTTTCTCTATTTTATGATCTATATGGCTTTGTAGGAATGAAATTCTTTTTCAAGGTAAACATATTGACGTCGGTCAACTCCAAGACATCATTTTAGTTAGGGTGGCTCACTAGTCACTAGTGTACAGGCAAGTGGCCTCTCAATCACATACCTGATTCCCATTTTCTATATGAACATAACAAAATCACTTTTAGGAAGAGGGAATGCAAAGCCAAACCTGTCACTAAGTGGACGAGGCCACCTCTTGGCTCTTTCAAATTCAATGCGGATGGATATGCCTTTGGTAAACCTGGCCATGTTGGAATTGGTGGTACTATCAAAGACCATGACGACTTCATCAAAAGAGTTTTCTCCTTTACCACTGGAATTGAACACTCTAATTTTGTTGAATACTTTGCTATCAAAAAAGGTCTTTCCTTGTTTCTTTCTTCACCTTGGGCCACTTGCACCCTTTTAGTTGAAAGCGATTCTAAAAACGCCATCTCTTGGGCACTTGACCATACCACTGTCCCTTGGCGTATGAAGAATCTTTCCAATTGCATCGAGGCTTGTAAGGCAATGGCCAAGGAGTTAACTTTTAAACACATTAACAGAGAGGCCAATAGCTTAACCGATGGACTTGCCAAAGCTGGGACTATCAGGTTTGATCATTTCTTAACTTTGTTCTGTTGATGTGGCATGCACACCATTGCTGAAACTTAAGCTTGCTGTGATTATGGTTCTTTGCATGTTAGCCCTTTTTTCACTTTGGCCATGTTAAGTGCTCTTTTTAGCTTTGTGGTTTATTTTTGTTAGTTGGATTTGATGTGTTTGATTGTGCTAGTATGTTATTTCTTTCTTTTGTGGTTAGAATTTTTTTGGGTTTTTTGTAAGCTTTTCTTCATGGTATTGCCTCTTTTAGTTCCCTCTTGTAATTGCCTTCTATGGGTTTGATTTAATATCAATCTCTTGCCATTCAAAAAAAAAAATTGTGATAAGATCAATTTTGCAAACTAAAAAAAGAGAAAACTTTATTATCTTCGTGATTACAAAATTATTTTGTAACTTGAAAATGTGAAATCAATCAAAAGTATATATATATATTCTCTACTCATCTAGCTAAAAGATTTATTTTGCATGCATTAAAAACTAATTCTACTTAGATTCAAAGACCTATTATATAAACTAAGTGATGCAACCAATTTTATTGCTTAATATTTAAAACCCTCGTCTAAATCCTACTCATACACATAAATAATTACTAATTTTCACATTTGATGCGTGGCCAAAAAAACAACTCACATAGGATGAAACATGAAGAATGCAAAGGTTATTGCAGTCATTTCACTAACTTACCCCTCATGAAAGCCCCCTGGCCTCATCCAGATGACCGTTGGAGGTTCAAATTTCAAAAGACCATCATCCTATTCCCTCCTCCAGCACTGTTAATAAAAATTTTCCAGAGAGAGAGAGAGAGAGAGAGAAAAGAGGTAAACCAGAGACAAGAAGCTATGAAGCCCCAGCTGAGTGCGTCATCTTCAGTCAAATCGACCACCACCATGGAAGATGACCGTTGCGAAACCAGAGACAGCTGCTACTACCCTGGATGCAGAAAAGATGCCAATTGCAACTGTGAAATTTGTTTGGCCAGCATCAACGCCACTCTTGATCTCATGCCTGTTAGCATCCAAAAGGGTTCCTTCACTAAACTCTCAGCTTCGAAGCCTAAGGTAGAACACACTCCAATCTCTTTCGACGCTTCGGCTATATCAACACCCAGATCGAGTTCTTGCCTCCTGGTGGAGTCTCCAGCTCTGAAATCAACTGCCAGATTAAGCTTGAAAGAGAAGAAGGGGAAGAAGAAGGAAGAGAAGCGTAGTTTCGACAGTGTATTTTGGAAGTTTTTATTGGGTTTGAGCTTGGTTTTCGGAATGGAGATTGCGTTTTCCTGGGTTTTTAATGGGGTCTTCAGTCCAGCTTTGACAAGGGATAGAGTGAGAAGTATTGGGGAGAAAGCTATAGGTGTGCAAAATTTGAATGGAAAATTGAGGTTCTTGCAAAATGAGCTGAAGGGATTTACTAGTGGGAAGGTTTCAAATTGCAGCAATACGGATTCCATGTGGGAAATTGATCAGGTTCTAAAAATTCTTGTTTTACGAATGACTTGTTCTGACAATATAATTTGTCTGTGTTGAAATTCCTAACATGTGATGAGTTAATTTATGCGTGGATTACAGGGTAGTTTGCTCCTGAATTCGCATTGTATATTGTACAAATCGGCAATGGAAGAGGTCAGGATTTGGGGATGGCCTTTGCAAACGGCAGGACTGCTTACAACTGGATTTTCTCCCAGATCATTCACCATCTTATCTGGGAGAGTCACAGAGGTAAATGCTAAGTTATATATCTTAATTATTTTCATAGATTCGAAAAACTTATTTAATCTTTGCTGCTGGCCTTTAAGTGCTAATATAGTATTTGAGTCTTTTGCTTCTGGGAATAAAAAAGCAAAAATTGAGGTTAGATACAAAAGCAAATAATAATCTTGAATAGTTGAAAATTGAAAATTTAATTTTTGTGAACAGAAAAATGCATGATTTTTTAACTTTCGTAGAAAATAATTTTGCTCAAATGTGTGCAATATTTTAGTTAAATAGAAATTTGATTTTTACTTACCTTTACCTTTCAACAGTTTTTGAAGAAACAAAAAGTAAGTAGCAGCAGAAACAACAAACAGATTGAAGCTTAAAAACGCTATAATAATGGATTCTTGATCATTTTTTGTCTTTCATCTTTTGGGTTTGGCAGTGGTCCAATGGAAAGGTTGGGTTTCTAACAAGGGAAGCAAATGCTTCATGGGTGCAAAGGAAATGGGGTGCCTCTGTCATACAATTGGATCCTAATACATGGATTATTGAGTACCGACGGAGCTCAGTACTGGAAAATCCAAGATTATTTTCAGCAACATTGGAGCTGTTGAAATATAGGTTGACAAGAATGATAAGGAAGATGAGTGAAGAGTTCTGGCTGTTCTCTGCTTTTGAAAACCCAAACAGTGAATTTGCAGGAAGGGAACAACTTAGGATCCCGACTTGAAGAGGATCTCTGGATATCACTTATTAGTTTCAACATATATACCTTGTTCTAGCAGATGTCCTATATCCAGTTCTCATTTCTTGTGAGAGAGTTTTCTATTGTTTTTAGTTCTCTCCCTTATCGAATTTGATTCTGTCAAGAGTTGAAAAGGATCATTATTTGCTTTATCACATATAGTTGAAGAAATTGAAATGAAGAAATATGCAAGACTTGCTATCCATTGTTCTGATTTTGTAGAATTGAACTATAAAATGTAAACCAATAATACCATAGCTTTCTTTTGCCTTTTTTTTAAAAATATTCACAAGTTTATCTTTTTAATTTTGGTAATACTTTTATTTAAGGAAATTCGTAATTTTTTTTCATCCCTATTTAGAAGAAAAAGATTCGAATTTGACTTATTGTGTAAACAGATATATGTATTTAGTATTAACGCAAATATAAATGCTCAGGTAATTTTCTTCTTGGTATTGTTAGTGATGTTATCAATTCTTATATTGATCTTATATAGAGGAATTCTACACAGATTGCTCTTAAAATATATTTTAGAAATATAGTGGAACAACGCTTGAAAAATTGGAAATAACTCACCTGAATTTTTTAATTCCAATTCTGTAATTATGAAATCATAATGAAAAATTGTGTAAGATCAACCACTTATAAGTGTGGATTTTACATTAAATTTTACTAAACCTTGCTTAATGCAATAGTTGTAGGTGATATATGATAAAAACAATGGAGGCGATATTGTAAAAGGAAATTTATTTCATTCTTTTTGGATTTGGAAAATATTAAGAGAAGAAGAATATTTGGATTCGGAAAATATTGATACTAGAGATAAAGATAAATAATTGTTCTTAAAATTTGATCAAACAATTTCATACACAAAAGTTTCGGTCCCTTTGGTATGTATTGCTCTTCCTTTTTGGTACGGAAATTGGGAATTAATTATGGAGCAAGAAAATCAAATGACAAGGACATTCGTGCCCCATAGCCAAGACGCGCAGGACTTGTGGACCCTTTCAGACCATAGCCAGTGAGAAATGAGCAGATTTATGACCAAGCTGGGTATTAGCAAGATATATAATAATCTAAAGTTCCCAAAAACGAAATCGAACTACAATAAGAATAAACCAAAATCCAAATAGCTTCGTCGTGTATGCCATTGACAAAAAATGCCTTAATCTTGTAAGCATGGTATAGTATTAAATACGCGATGATGTAATAATCCTATGAACCTACGCGTCTTTGAGCTTTTCCTTCTAACAGCCACGCAGTTTCTCTCTCATTACACGCTTCCTTTATGTATTATAAAAGGGAAACCTTCTGCGTCTCTCTCTTCTTGTTCATCACACCATGGCGAAGCTCTCATCTGCATACCAATATACAGGAACTTGGGGTTTTTCAGAATCAGAGATAGACGTGGCTCGCCAGCTCATTAAACTTTGCAGCGACAATGGTAGCATTGACGACGGTGGTCTAACGGCGAAGCGAAAGAAGGTTCAGGATGAAGGATTTGGTAAAGATTCTGCCATGATCGTTGAAGATATATTTGAAGATAATGAAGAGGAGGATTTGAAGCGGAGAAAGAGAAGGTCTCGGTCTCTTCATTATATCTATAGCTCCACTAAGCCTCTGGTTGTTTTTGATGCTAAGAGGATTTGCTGTAGTTGATTTTGTTTTTTATATACAATTTCTTGCCCAACGAACTTGAATTGGTATAAAAGTGTTCATTGAAGTTATACTTTCTTTGGTCCTTATTATTGAGTTATTAACTTCTTATTTTTCTTGAAAAAGATTTGGTTTTTTTTCCCTTTTCTTTTTTGGTTGAAATGAACTTGTAGAAAAGAAACAATTTTATGTGAAAATTATTTTTATGTTGTCTGATTGACAATAAACAGAGTCTTGAAATTTTTTCTGTTAAATGTGGGTCCTGATCTCGTCTGCTTTGGGACAACATGACCAACAATGGGCCATGCTGCAGCCCATGCCAACACAAAGCACCGAGGGTCAATGGGCACAGCCCATGTATGGTTATTGGGCTACCTTGACACGACCCAACTCTTTGAAATAACTTTTTTTTCATAATTTCTCTAAAGGTATATACACCATTTTTTCAAAATAATTCTCTAAAAAAAATAGTTAGTTTATGAAAGTAATTTAATTAAGAGAATAAAAATCCTCAGTAATACTTTTAAAGGAAAAATATAGAAGATAAAAAAGAAGATGGTTGTTACTCCTTAAGGTATATATAATATTTGTTAATTATATATTAATAGATAAGCGAAAGATAATGAAATAAACATTTGAAATGCAATTTGTATTAAAATAATAAATGATTTAATGAAAATTTGGGCTAAAAGAACCTGCTTGAGCTAGCCCATAGAAAGTACGGTCTGTTTCCCGCCAAACTCACACCCACTTTCCCGCCTACACATGCTTAACATCTCACTTTTCGCGCCAAACCCCCTTCCATCCCCTGCATTTCTCCCTCACAGTTCGTCACTTAGGGTTTACCAATGGCGGAGTCAAAGGAAATCCCTAAGAAGCGCAAACGATCATCCCTTCCAACAACACATTCCTTAATGGGAATCTTAACTCGCAGCAAATCCCAAATATATCTTCACCGTAACCGATCAGGCCAATCCCGACCGGACTCAAGCCGTGGCAGAAACCGCCAAGATCTGCAATCCGTCTCCAGAAAACGGAAAAATAGTTCTCCAGATGAAGATTCATCCGTGGGCTGCGATTTATCCTCCGTTTCCATAAAAGATCTCCGCTTAAGACGTGTCTTCTCTCCCTCTTCAACTGAAGGGCTAATTCGTAACTGTTTGGATGATACTGAGAATCTGGGAAAGAGTGAGGTTAGTGGGAATTGTTTGGGTGGAAGTAAAGAAGGGTGTGAAAATGGGGATTTTCAAAAGTTGGATTTGTCGAATGAGGATTTTGTGCAGTCAACCCCACCAGATGCTGAGATCTTTGGTGGTAATCAAGGGGTTGAAAGAAATGGAAGTTACTTTTCAGGTAAATTCTTAGAGAAGAAGCCAAGTGAAAGCCTGCAGAAACATGATGGATGCACGAGAAAGTGCGTTCACGAGGAGAGAAATGGCATAAATGATTCAATCAAATCAGTAAGATATTAATGTTGGAACTTTTTTCATTTAGTGCCCGTCACTTAATGTAACTTTTGGTTGATACTTTTGCTATTGGTTTTTCATTTCTCCTTTTGCACTTGCCTTCTCAAATTTTATGTTTTTGATACAGACATTTTGAAAAAAAAAATTCCCTTTAGCTACATAAGTAAAAAATTGTTTCTTAGAGAGAAACAATGTATGATTTTAAATTTGTACAGAACAATTATGTTATAATTGATGTAACATTGTAGTCATTTGTTAATTTTCATTATTTTTTTTTGAAATTATGTTGAAGTTGTTGCACAATTTGGATAAAGTAGTTTTATGTTTCACCGTGATGTTTTGTTATTCTGTGTAATGCCTATACATTTATTGGTGATTGTTTAGTAATGTCAGTTGCCTGTGTATGTTGGAGTAGGTTTTGAAACCATGTTCTCGTGTCAAGCTTTTCAAAACGCCAGGCTCATTCAGCTACAGAAGATTGCTTCCTTATTTGATGGATATGGGAAAAGATTATTCTCGTAATTCCTTTCTCATTTTCTCTTTGCTTTTCTTCTTGTTTTAGGCTTTGTTTGCACAACGTGACAAGATGGCAACTGTAATTAAAACTATGACATTAAACATTCTTGTATTATGCTCTTTACAGTTTCCCCAACATTGGGTCGTTGTCAAAAAACTGAGAAGGGTTTGGAAGAGAAGCAATTCTTGGCTTCAAACTGTCAAGAAACATTGGCAGATAAATCTAAGACAAATTGCTGCTCCTTGGAGGATCATAACAGTGGTTCTAGTCAGGAGTTGAGCACGAAATTAGTTGAGTCCCTCACCTCACTGGACAATGAGTATTCCTCAACACCACTTGATAATGGGGAGATTCAGAAACTTGAGTTACAAGTTTCTTTTGAAGACCAGAATTTGAATTGCTCGAAACATGATTCATCTTCAACTATGGATGATTCTCCTTTGAACAAGGAAAAGTTAACTGGTGTGGTTTCTAGTGATAAAATGATGATGGATGATGGTGAGGTTACAAAAACTAATGTTGAATCTCCTTGTGATGCTCAAAGTCTAGAAGCTTTGGATCAGACATTGTCTACAGTTAGCAATAAGTGTGAATCTTATGATTGTGATGAAGTTAGACAAAATTCTAATGGTGACACAAAGCAGTCTGAGGTTGAAGGGATGTCAAAAGCTACCATTCGTCATTCTTTTGAAGCTCACCACCTGAATTCTGTGAATCCTTTCTCTGAAGTGGAAGGAAACAGATACTGCAGTTTACAGCAGAGAGTTGACAATGACGGTGAAGTCTTGGAACAAGTTGAAGACTTGAATGGAGAATGTATGTTGATGACACCAACAGATTCTGACATGTCTTCTAAACATGAAACTGCTGATAGCAGATGGAACAGATTGGATTGTGTTTCACAAGGCATGAATCATGTTATTGAAAAGTCAGCAAATGAAACCTTTCACAGAAATAGTGGTCAAGGTAGTGATAAAAGCCTAGACTCAAGTCCTAAAAACAAGATGGTAAGATGCTACCAACCTTTTAATATTTTCAGTTATGGTAGCTCATAGTTTGCTGAATTGATAGGTGTATGCTCAAGGTACACTAAATTAATGATGAAACTCTATAGAATTTCATGCTTATGTAGTTGGGCTTGTGATGTTGGACAGGTTCCACACCCACGCTTGCATCTGAAGTTATCTAAAATTCCTGGCTCATTCAGTTATAGAAGATTGCTTCCATTTTTGATTGACATGAGAAATGATTTTCCATGTGAGTCCAGCTTTATTTCGCAGGCTATCTCCCCCATTCCCCAATCCCACCCACTTCTTGTTGTCAGAATAATTCTATTGTTTTTGAATTAAATTGGAGCCTTAATATTTGTAACTTTTTTCTTGGATGCTTTACCAGGTGCTTCTGGAAATGATCAGTCACAGAATGTTGAGAAGAGTTCCAAAGAAAAGCCACACTCACCATTATTTACTTCTGGCAAAGAGATATGCATGGAAACTTTCAATGGCAAAAGTTATCCTGAAGAGCATTATGCTGGTGATGATAGTACGTTGCTAGTGGCTGCAGCAACTGCTCTGAGATGTTCATCTAACCAGAAACTGACACGATCATCTCCTAAACAAGTAGCTGATTCCTCAATGATAATGGATTCACAACAGGAACATGGATTACTTGTTAATCATGCTGCATTGGATACAAATCAGAAGTTGGAAACTAGCCCTCAAAATGTGGTTGAGCCATTGAGCTCTCTCAACAATTCTGGATTATTGCCTAGAGACGAAGGTGCTAAATCAGTGTCTCATCAGTTACCTCTTGAAACTGAAGAGGACTGCATAAAGTCTACTGTGAAATGTGCAACCAAGAAAAAGCAAAGTGAAGCTATTGTTGAAGCCTCTATTCCTCCTGTAATTCGTGCTGCTGGTTTCAGAAAGGGAATCCTTAAAAGAAATCCACGTGGATGCCGAGGTCTTTGTACCTGTCTGAACTGTTCTTCTTTTCGGCTACATGCCGAGAGGTCATATGAATTTTCAAGAAATCAGATGCAAGATGCTGAAGAAGTGGCTTTAGATTTGATTAAAGAATTATCGAACCTACGGAATATGTTGGAAAAATCTGCTAAAGATCAGACCAGTATTTGCATCAATCAGGTGATATTAAATGAATTTTTATCCTTCATACTTTGCTTTACTTTCAAATATAGTGAGCTGACATGAGAGTTTGATCTCCGTTTATGAAATGCTTTATGGTTGGTAGTTTAAAGTTTTGGTTGACCCTACTGCATGCTATCTCAATAAAGGCTACTCATTTTATAGGTTCAGTCAACATTTTGTATGCATGGTGAAAGGGAGAACAGGGAAAATGCAAATCTATAGGAATCAAACAAGTTCCAATTTCAGCACCTTTTTTTTCCTGTTTGTCCCGCATGACTTGGCTAGAATTGTATAGAATCTGGTGGAACTTTTTGTAACTTGGTTCTTTCTTTGACTACTTATTATTAGCTTAGAACTTTCGGATACTTTATTTTATTAACAGGCTTTAAGTCATACTTTGTATGACAAAGAAAGTTTTGTTTATCAATGATTTAGAACCAGTTAAATAAAGTCATAGCATCAATCAGTGATCATTCTTGCCTGATAATACTGAATGCTTCCTGTATTTGTAGTTCCACTAGATTAAAAGTACTTTTAACTCAGAAGCCTATTTTATATGCTGCATGTCAAGGCTTAGTGCTAGACTTGACATGCTTGAAGCTTATGGGGAAGGTCCTTGCACTCATTCAGAATGGTCATTCTGTAGCAGAATTTTTAGAAGAAAGTCAGCAAAGAGTTTCTGATGATAATCATGAGTGTCGCATACTTATATTTGACTTAATTTATGATGCCTGGTTTCTACAAAACAATCAAAATCATGTGTCTACCTTAAAAAACCAAAATGGCCTATGATTTGAGATATTCAGCCTTGTTGCACTTGCTGTTGCATTAATAATATGATTGACTTTACGATATTAGCTTAGACAGTGCTGGTCCAAATGTTGAATCCTGCTTTCAAACATGATGTTTAACGTTCTTCCTATTCTGTTACCATTTCACTATCTATATACTCTATTGACATTAATATAGGAATTTATGCTAAATCTGTAATATGCTCAATTTAGGTTAAAGATGCTTGCAAGGAAGCCTCTGAAGCTGAAGAACTTGCCAGAACTCGTCTCTGTGAAATGAACAATGATCTAAACATTCACTGCACAATCCCAGTAAGTATGGTTTGTGGTTTGCACTTTGCACTCTGTTACAAGGGCATATCTGAACCATCCGCCATCCCCACCAAAAAAAGAAAAAAAATTCCTCCTGCCAAAATGCCTACAGATTCTCATTCATACTGAATTGGTCTCAGAGAAATGAACTATGATCTAAACATTCACTCCAAAATCCCAGTGAGTGTAGTTTGCACTTTGCACTCCATACAAGAGCATCTCTAAACTATTGACCAAACCCCCCATCACCACCCAAAAAAAAAAGAAAAGAAAATGAAACTCATGCAGAAATACCTACAGACTCTCATTTATACTTTAAGCATTTTGATTCTTGCTTGTCCAACAATCTTAGTTCATTTTGTTCATGTAGTGTGGGCACCGGCCAAGAGTGAGATTTGCCAATTTTGTTGAAGAACAAGTCATTCCGATATCCAGCTCATCAAACAAATAGTTGTGAATTAAGAGGAAAATAATGCAACAGCAGCTGCAGTGCTTTTGTTGTCATTGTTGCTTTGTAGTTAGCTTTGATGACATCCCGTTCCATACTAAGTTGCTGCTGATATCAATATTGGAATCATTGTACGCAGACAGCATTAGAACTTGTCCACATTTTGTCCACGTAAGAGAAAATCAAGCATCCTATTTCAATGAGATTGAGAAGCAGGCCAAGAACGATGTTTCAATATCTGTATATTGAGAAATATAGCTATCAGAAAAACTTCTACATTCGTAGGTATTATTGTTAAGGGTTCGCTTCTTTTTCTTTTCATAAAGCTTGTATAGTTAAGTAACACCAGGTTTGCTTGAGTAAAAGAATGTTGTTGTTTTATGGCACATCCAATTGTCTTACGGTCATACTGATTAAACTGCAAAATGTAAATGCTGGGAGTTCTGTATAATCATGTTTCTAATATGGGATTACAAGTAGCAAACTAAAAATCAACAATCGTAGACAATTGATTTGATTTGTAGCAAACCAGAAACACAATTTACTGACAGGAATCGACAGCCAATTGTAAACGTGTTTCATGAAGAAAATGGTAAGAGGGCTTAGGGGGGGTGAATGACAGGTCCTTCCCTTATCCACTTTAAATTACCCCGGGGTGGTAGGGTTGGCGGCTAAGGTGTGGGAAACAAGGAGAAGATCATGAAGGGGCGAATAATGGGCTTATTTTTGGAGGAATCGAAATGGTCAGCATAGAAATTGCTTGGGAATGACAATAAAAGAAGTGTAGCAAGATATACATATGTGGATCAAGTTCAATTAACAAGATTATGAGTCGTACTCGTACCACACCCGATCTTCACGTGTCTGATGGTTTTTCCAAGATGAAGTTTGGAGTTTTAGCGGCAGCTAACACAGTCTGCCCATGTAAAGTCGTTGAATGCTGATGCGTCCTCTCCGGAAAGCCTTATCCTTATTTCTGTTCAATAGGACTAATAAAGTTTAGAGTCTATAATAATGAATTCTTTGGCAGAAGTTCTTTAGTTCCTTAAGGTTGCTCGTAACTGTACGGCCGACCTAGCTAGGACACTCGGCATGGCCTCTTGAGTTTTCTGTTTTGTTTCTTCTAATGAGCCAACACTCGTTTAATTTAATCGTCTAGCACTGGTCACGGGAGATTAACTTGTCCTAGGGGAATTACTTTTGAACCATAGTCAAATACGCTTTAGGTTGCAAAGCTATTAACGTTTCAATTTCATGAAGCTACAAATACTTCTTTGGATACTCCTGCTTTTAATTACGTCCATGGAAAACAAAGCAAGGTAATATTTGCAGAGCTATGTTAATTTACAAAACTCAACAGGCAATTTTATTAACTGAAACAGAATTTACAACCATCTTCAACCTCACAAGATGATCAAAACCAACAAAACAAGAAACAGAAATAACGAATATAACTTATTTAACCTCTAAGCATCAAGTTGAGTGAAGCTTGAATGCATAGAGGAAGAACTAAAAGAATATGCAACCATTAACTATATTACAAAACCCCCGTCAGACTTGACCACCGCAACTTCTCTTTCCAACTCTGTTTCAGAACCTTGGGCGTTTACACTCGGGAGGAACACCTTGAGGGAAACGCTTTAAATCGGTGCAATAGTTGTATATCATGAAATATTTTTGAACCCATCTCAGTCTTCTTCTGGCAGGGGCATCGAGCTCATTGGTCTCCCATACACCACCCGAGACTGAGCTTGTAGAGGCACAAGATGAAGCACCTCCAGACCAAGTACAAGCTTTGGCATTGAAGTTCCTGTAATATGCTGTGAAGGGTGCCTTTGTCCAATCTGTTTTCACTAATCCACCCCTTGTAGCCCAGTCATCAGCATTCCAGAGGCTAGAGTAAATCCTCATGGGTTGGCTCTTGGGGAAGGGCACGCCAACTGATTCAGCATTCTTGAATACTCTAATGGGAACGTTATCCACCAAGAAACTGACAAGAGAACCCAAAAAATATCTATGTTAGAAGGGGGCCAACGGAAGAAATGTAGTAATATTGACAAAATATTG